ATTTTTCCTAATTTGTTTCCCATGCAAAAAAAAAAAAAATGTTGCTCACCACTGAATTAAATAAAAAATTTCAACTGCCCTGCCCAATGTTCTACATCTTGTGGACATGTAATGATAATAATAGTGGTCTTCTCCTTTTCTAAATTTGGTGGGAACATCAGGTTATGCTGACCTCCCAGAATAATAGTCCTTGGAGTAAAGGCTACTCACCTGGCATGAAGTAGGAATATCCCTAATGTGTTTGGGCATACAGAAGCAGTAGGTAGGTGCCTTGGGCATCATGGTACATGTCCATTGTCTGAGGGGGAGAGGAAACCCTGAAGATGGTGAGAGCAGAGAAATGGAGATATTTTGAGTATCATTCATCTGCCTCAGCATGTGTCCCCAAAAGATTACACTCCATCCAATATGCTAGACCTGGACAAACGATATCAGCTGTCCAATGGTCCTTTGTGATTGCTGCCTCTTTCAGCAACAATCTTTCATAATAACAGCTTCATATGTCTCACTAAACACCTGCTCTCTTCCTGAGCTGCCAGCAAAAGTATCTGTGTACCACCAAATAGACTTAGACTTTCCAGTAGAAAACTAGACTGCTTGCCTCTAAGAACATAGATTGAGTGTGTGTGTGTGTGTGTGTGTGTGTGTGTGTGTGTGTGTGTAGGGGTGTCTACAGATGCTCAGAGACATGGGCCAGAATTGCTAGCATGGGTCTTTCCAACCTAGTTTTATAAGGGTTAGACAGCTTGACTGACTGCAGCTCTAATTTTGTAAAACAGAATTGGCTTGCAAAAATCTGGGCCAGGAGAGGGCACACCTGGGAAATGGCTGTGAACTCAGAACTAGGAAGGAGGCAGATGCTGAGGTATCTCGAGAGTATTCTGTACCTCTACAGAAAAATAGAGGGTCCAGGGCAACCATAGTTTAGATATCCCCGATGGGAGCCACTGAGTTCTTCAGAGCCCACAGGAAACCAAGTGTCAGCAATCATCCTGGGCCATAATGGAGGTTCTTGTGGGTGTGGAAAACTAAAGGGTTGTGGAGGAGATCTGGTTAGCGCCTTAAATCTGAAATTAAACTAAGTGACTGGATTTTGCTAAAATTCCTTTGTTGTGATTATTCCAAACTCCAGTTCACCACTTCAGTTGCATGCTAAAATGATAAGGAAGGAGATTGTACAATTGCTGAGACAAGTGTTCTCAACCCTGGCTTTCTATTAGCTTCTTCAGAAAATCTGATGCTCAATCCTCATTCCAGACCAAATGAATCAGACTCTTTGGGTGAGGGATCCAAGAAGGAATAGTTTTTAAAAGCTCTTCAGGTAATTCTAATGCACAACCAGTGTTGGAAACCACTGGCTTAGGCTGAAATGGGCAAAAGTTATCCAGGGGAGCCAGAGAAAGAGTTGTGATTGAGAGGATATAATTTCTGGGCATAACCTCAGACAAGGAAAGCATTCTCATGTTAGTGCTTAGATAATGCTAGAATAGAAAGGCACCAGAGGATATGATGGGCATGCACCAGAGTTGGCAATGATGAGTGACTACAAGCCAGAAACCAAATTTTGCTTGCCCCAAAACATAACCAGAAACCAGACAAGCTGGTAGATGAATGATACTTTTCATCAATGATCAATGATCACAGAACAGAAACTCACTCAAGGTAGCTCAAGATTAGGAAGGTTTGTAGTCAAGATACAAATGGCAATTTCAAGGCATCCAGGGACCCAGGCTTCCAGAGTCAGGAATAAGACACTCAGTGACTATAGTCACCCCCTCCATCTCTCAGTCATTTGATCTTCATCTCTGTTCTTCTACACATCTGCTTTTTTCTTTCATTGCACCTGGCTTCCTCTGATTACTCATTTCACACAAGGCTCAACAGGAGTGCTCCAACACTAACTTTTAATGATCTCTTATATCCAGAGTCAACACTGACTGACCCTTGTCACAAAGTGTCTTAATTCAAATTTTCAAGAAGAATCTGGTCACCAGCTCAACAGAGAATAGCTGGCTGGTCTTATCTAGCCTTGGGTCCAGTGTTGATCTCCTCCAAAAGCTGGGCTGGGAGTGGAAAATTCTCACAGGCTGAACATTTTAGAAGACCACTGGAGGGGCAAATACTCATGAGGAGCTGTTGGCAGAGTAGATAATGAAGTACCTGTAATATTTATTTATAACCGTAACACACCTTTCTTCTTTCCCATCTTCTGCCTCCCAGGAAGGAGGGGAGATAAGAAGGAGCTTAAAATAAGGTGTTCTGTCTACTTTCAAGGTTCAGCCTAGCAACTGAGAGAGGTAACCACAAACTGGCATGACGAAAAGACAGTCTACGAACCCTCAACCAGCATTTATGTACATAATTCTACATATGCTATCTTCCTCTTAAGACCACCAAACGTTCACTCTTAGCAATGGTGAAAGCCTCAAGGTGTTCAAGGTGAATCTCACACTTTCGACTGCATTGTGTGTAAAAATGTAACACATACAGACATTAAGAAGGATTCTCCTCCTCTTGGGCCTTTATCTGATTGGAAATTTTGTAATTAACGTGTTGTTATAGTGCTTTGGCAGTTCATTTGACAGCTCTGAAACAACATTTTTGGCTTTTACATGAGAATCTTTTACTGAAACTCTTTTCAGAAACTTGGAACTTCAGTCAGTTTGGGGATTCATGAAAATGGTAGTTGGAGAATTTTATAAACCTCCCAAATAGAAAAATTGTGTATAAACTCATTCTATGGTCCAATGTTGGCTATCTCAGCCAAGAATTAAATGGTCCTATAGTTGTCTTTCTTTCCTCTAGTTAAGTTCAGCTGCATTGAGGCAAGGTGTCCAGAAGGAGTCTGGACTTGGGGGTTATGTTTAAAGAGAAAAAAACCAGAGTAAAAATCTACCTCCCTCACCAGCCTGTACACAGTTTGAGTTTTGTTTTGTTTGTTTTGATTTTTCTTTGTAGAGCCCATGGAGCTAGAGGTGAAGTGAAGCCAGGAAAGGGAAGAGGGAAAAGCAGGGGAAGCACCAATAGCAAATATTGTCTATTTTCACTTTTGCCCAGAGCCTGTGGTCCCTGAAAGTCATGGCTGTGAACTTGGTGTTATGCCACCATGCCACCGTGCAATCATTTATTTTAGAGCTTTCGAAGAGGTCAATTATTTCAGCTTTTGCCCAAGTACAACTATTGGAGATTCTGACTGATTGAATAAAAGAAGAAGTCTACTACTTGTATTTTACGGACAAAACAAAACACCTTTAAACCAAAAGAATGATTTATCTGGGCTGAAAATAAAACTCCTGCCTACTGAAGTCTGGTGCAGCTGAGTTATCACTATTTTCATCCTGTAATTTGTTTTATAGGGTACTAATTAACAGGGCAAAATCTGTTGCCAGGAAAGTAAATCACATTTTGCTGTTTTCTTCTTTTCTGAAAAGACACAGACCTGATATTTAATTGAAGAGCAGGTTCCAAGGGCACTATCCACACCGAAACTGGGAAACACTGAGCTGGGAAATGATGGTAAAACCTGATGTGTAGAGTTCCAGAAAGACCTTGGGGAGGGAGAGGAAGGAATGGAGGGAAAGAGAGAGGAATTGCACAGGTAACTTCCAAAAAGACTGTTTTCCTCAAATGGCCCATCTTTTCCTTGTTTATTCAACTCTACATTTCTCCTCTGGCTCTACTCGACTGACACCCACCACAAACATCCCCTCAAAAGCTCATTTTCATTCATTCCTGCCCGCATCAGAGTACTGTATCTTTTTTAAAGGTAGCACCTGTGTGGTCTGACGTCTCTGCCCTAATCTCCTCCTTCTCCGGACGTAAACACCCACCTGAGCCTCTCAGTGACCTTTGACAGTGGGCTGAGTGGTCACACCTGACCCCTCCCCTCCCAGCTCACCCTCCTCAAAGACTTCATTCTTCTCTCTCTCTCCTTGTTCCCTTATCCCACTCCTGGACGTTTTGGACTGGAGGTGGCCGCTCCGGCTTCTGCTCCCTCCTTGAACCCTCTGAGACATACTTTGGGGGAGGAGGGATGGGGTGGGGGGTAAGTGATGGGCGGTGAAACAGAGTGAGTGCCGCCTCGCACCCAGGAGCCGGGAGCCTGACGTCACCGCGCCCTGCCTGTCAGTCTCCAGCGGGCGCGCTGCTCGTAGCCGCCTTTTCTGCCTCTGACTGTGTCTCACTCTCGGCGGCGCCAGCACAGCCACAGGAGCCCGGCGCTCTGCTCCGCGCGGGCCCTGTCGCCCCGCAGGCATAGGCTCAGTCCGCGCGCGCCGGGAGCGCAGCCTGGCGCCCAGCTGCAGCGCTCATGATCAGCGACTTCCTGAAGCCCTGACTCCCCAGGTGAGCAGCCCGGCTCCCGAGACGAACTTTGAGGGTGTGGAGTAGGGAAGGGGTGAAGGATGGCCAGGGGATGAGTCCTTAAAGCCGGAGAAATGGGGGCACGCTTGGCTCCACATCCTCCGGGCACACAGACACTCAGCCTCCCTCCCCAAAACCCCTTTCCCAGGGATCTCTGTGGCCTTCAGGGCCCGCTGAACTCCGCGACATCAGAAACTTCGGTTTCAGCACCGCGGACAGCGACTCCGCCGCCCAGTTCAGGAGAAAGCCTAACCCCCGCCGCCAGAGCCCAGGCGCGACTCGGCCAAGGCTGATACCCCTAGCTCGGGGCAAACTGATGCGTGTGCAATCACAGGCACACTTACGGGACTGATCTTTGTGCAAGCGAGTGCATGCTGTCCGTGCACATGTCTGTGCAAAAACTCAGATCTATTTGTGGGGGCATTCGTGTGCATTTCACTCACTCGCTCGCTCGGTCACTCAACAGGTATTTACTAATTTAAGGCTCTCGATACTGCTTCCTCGCTCTGCTCTGGGGTCCTGCGGTGGGATGAGCAATATAAGTCGGGCACCTGAGCACGGGAAGTTCCCGGGAGGCTCGAACCACTCACCTGACGCTTGTTCTCCCTTTTCCAAGCAGGGTGCAGCGACAGGCCGCAATGAACGCGAGCGCCTCCTCGCTCAATGAGTCCCAGGTGGTGGCAGTGACCGCCGAGGGAGCGGCGGCGGCGGCCACAGCGGCAGGGGCGCGGGACAGCGGTGAATGGGGGCCCCCTGCAGCGGCGGCGCTGGGGGGCGGCGGCGCGGCTAACGTGTGCCTGGAGCTGTCTTCTCAACTGCCGGCCGGGCCGCCGGGGCTGCTGCTGTCGGCGGTGAATCCTTGGGACGTGCTCCTGTGCGTGTCGGGGACGGTGATCGCAGGCGAAAATGCTCTGGTAGTGGCTCTAATCGCGTCCACCCCCGCGCTGCGCACGCCTATGTTTGTGCTGGTGGGCAGCCTGGCCACGGCCGACCTGCTGGCGGGCTGCGGTCTCATCCTTCACTTCGTGTTCCAGTACGTGGTGCCCTCAGAGACGGTAAGCCTGCTCACGGTGGGCTTCCTCGTGGCTTCCTTCGCTGCCTCGGTCAGCAGCCTGCTTGCTATCACGGTGGACCGCTACCTGTCTCTCTACAACGCGCTCACCTACTACTCGCGCCGGACCCTGTTGGGCGTGCACATCCTGCTCGCCGCCACCTGGACGGTGTCCCTAGGCCTCGGGCTGCTGCCGGTGCTCGGCTGGAACTGCCTAGCAGAGCGCGCCACCTGCAGCGTGGTGCGCCCGCTGACGCGCAGCCACGTGGCGCTGCTCTCCGCCGCGTTCTTTGTGGTCTTCGGCATCATGCTGCACCTGTACGTGCGCATCTGCCAGGTGGTCTGGCGCCACGCGCACCAGATCGCGCTGCAGCAGCACTGCCTGGCGCCGCCCCACCTGGCAGCCACCAGAAAGGGTGTGGGCACGCTGGCCGTGGTACTGGGCACTTTTGGCGCCAGTTGGCTGCCCTTCGCCATCTATTGCGTGGTAGGCAGCCGCGAGGACCCGGCAGTCTATACCTACGCCACCCTGCTGCCCGCCACCTACAACTCCATGATCAATCCCATCATCTATGCCTTCCGCAACCAGGAGATTCAGCGTGCCCTGTGGCTCCTGTTCTGTGGCTGTTTCCAGTCCAAAGTGCCCTTCCGTTCTAGGTCCCCCAGTGAGGTCTGAAGGCTCCCTCCCTCCGTCCTCCTGCCAACACCACACTCACAACAAGCCACCCTTCAGTGAGCTTCTCGGTGCCTGCTGATGAACTCTGAGATCCCAGTGGTGTGATTCTGACTTTGGAAAGAAAGGAAGAGAGAATAAACATAACTACATCAAACTCACAAAAGACAAAGAGGCTCTTTGGCACTTTACATATACAGTGTATACATGTGTACATATATATACAAGTATTTGTATCTTCTGAAGGGGTTCAGGATGTGGGCTTTCCTGTTCTGTGAAAAAAAACTAACAAAAGATGTGGTCGTGTACTCAAATTGTACATCACATTTGTCAAGTGAAGACATTATGATACTGCTTAATTATAGCACTTTATTTTTAGCTGCTGAACTGCCAAAACAGTGTTGCCATTTTTCAGGGGCAGGGGAAGAAGAGTAAAAGGTGTATTTTTGTTGTATGTGATAGTATATTTTGCTGCACATGCATCAGTAAATTATAACATATTTTGTACACAAATAAACACAAAATAAAAATGTAATTTGGGGCCTGTGACTACCGGATTACTATTTAAAAGCTGGAATATTGGTACATTTACTTAAAAAGTTTATTATGTATCATCTCCCTCCTATGAAATCTTAATGTCAAAAACCATATGCATCTGCACATTGTTCACAAATTGTCATGGAAATACCTAATACGATTTGAGGTGGGGCGGGGGGGACTGACAGGGAGTAAGAGAGTCACATAACAGTATTCATAGGACACTAAAGGGTTATTGGTATTATTAATCTACAAATTAATCTACTCCTTGGTTTCTGGGTTCTGAAGACAAACTCCAGAGGGTGCCTGAAACCTTTCCTTCCTCTTACCTCACGTGCACTTGTGAGTTCTGAAACAACTTTTAGTTATAGCGTTCTCAGTCTGGAAAGAATTTTAAATGTTTAAAATTCATATTGACTGAGTGTATTTTTGCTGGCCCATTCTTGTAGAAAAATGCAAAGAAATCAATTCTTCCAAGACAGGATTCCAAGATACATTGTGTTCATGAGATAAGTGAAGGTATGCCCAGCAGGTGCTTTTTGAGGTGCTTGTAGCTTCAAAACACAGGGCGTTAAGACTCCTAAGAACCAAGCATTCCCAGTTCACCATTGAATATGAGTCATAGTTAAATGGTTCCCCTCCTCCCCCTCTTATAGGATGATGTAAGGATAAATAAGGTAACACATGTGGACATGCTCTGAACATCTGTGAAGAAATACGCACATGAGCACAAGTTGTTATTGGTCTTAGACCTTGGGAAAATACCACAAGCAAATTTTTTTCTTCCTACAGTCCACAAGTATTTGTTGAGTGCCTATTGTTTGCTAGACACAATTCCAGAGCTGGAATACAGAAGTGAACAAAATAGACAAAAAGTTTTCTGTGCTCTTAGTACTAAATTCTAGTGAAGGAGCTCACTTACATCAAAGAAACACACACACATAGAATGAGAGATTTATTATATAAAGAGTTGGCTTGTGGAAGTTTGGAGGTTAAGAAGTCCCAAGATCTGTAGTCAGAAAGCTGGAGACCCAAGAAAGCTGATGGTATTGTTCCAGTAAGTCTCCAAAGGCCTGAAAACCAGGAGAGCCCCTGGGCTCAAAACCCAAGAAGAACTGGTGTTTCATCTTGAGATCAAATGCAAGAGAATGGCCAAAATTAACAAGACAGCAAACAACAAGTGTTGGAAAGGATGTAGAGAAAGGGGAACCCTCTTACACTGTTGGGAATGCAAATTGGTGCAGCCACTTTGGAAAACAGTGTGGAGATTCCTTAAGAAATTAAAAATAGAGCTTCTCTATGACCCTGCAATTGCACTACTGGGTATTTACCCCAAAGATACAGATGTAGTGAAAAGAAGGGCCATATGCACCTCAATGTTCATAGCAGCAATGACCACAATTGCCAAACTGTGGAAAGAGCCGAGATGCCCTTCAACAGACAAATGGATAAAGAAGAGAGCCAATTATCATATGGTTTCGCTTATTTGTGGAGCATAAGGAATAACATGGAGGGCATGGGGAGATGGAGAGGAGAAGGGAGTTGGGGGAAATTGAGGAGGAGACAAACCATGAGAGACTGCGGACTCTGAGAAACAAACTGAGGGTTTTGGTGGGGGGGAGGGGGTTGGGTGAGCCTGGTGGTGGATATTAAGGAGGGCACATATTGCATGGAGCACTGGGTGTGGTGCATAAACAATGAATCTTGGAACACTGAAAAAATAAAATTTAAAAAAATGCAGGAAAAGACCAATGTTCCAGCTCAAGACATTCAGGCAACAGAAATTCCCTCTTACTTAGCCCTTTTATTCCTTTCTGGCCTTCAGTTGATTGGATGAGGCCTATCTACACTAGGGAAGGCAATCTGTTTATTCATTCTACCATCAAGTGTTAATCTCATCCAGAAACAATTCAGGAATGAGTCTTGACCAAATGCCTGTGCATCCTGTGGTTTAGTCAAGTTGACACATAAAATTAACCATTACACCAAAAGAGCACAATCATCCAAAATAAAAAAGGAAAAGTGTTTAAGGATGAAGCAGTCAACTGTGCCAAATGTTGCTGAGAAGATAAGTAAAATGAGGATTAAAGACAATGACTATAGATTTTTTTAATGTCGATATCATTGGTGAACTTGACAAGAGAAACTTGAGGAGTGTGAAGGGGGTAAATAGCTTGATTATAGAAGATACAAGAGAATGTGCATGAGCAACCTAGTCTCCAACATCGTGCAACAGAGGTCTGACCTTTTTAACGCTGTGAAATATATTAAGTTTTATAGACAAATGGTTTTATAGTGTCTGTAAATTCAGAGCCAGGAGGATCGGCCTTATTGCTCATTCATCACATTAACATTTTCTAAAGAACTAACCTTCATCATCAGACACTTTTTTTTCAGCATCATCAGACACTTTCAGGCCCTATTAGTATCCAGGATGCATTCAAGCATACTGAAATAACAAGAGCTCGAGCTGTAAACATTTCCAAACATGTGGTGGAGAAAAACAATATAATTCCAGAGATGGAACAAAGAAGTCAATATTACTATGCATTTTATAATTACAGAGAAAAATTCCTTGCAATCAGTGAATAAAGAAAGTTCAACACTAGGATAATAAGACAGGGACCATGGATCTCACTTCAATCCATTTGGTATTCATATTCAACTTCAGTGCTAGTCCTAATCAAAATGTTTGAGAGAGCCAAGAACAAGAAGATACTAAACAATCAGGTTGTTAATATCCTGGCTTACGTAGTTGGCCAGGCTGTAACGTCAGTAGGCTTCAGATTAACCAACTTGATTATGTAGGGATACAAAAGTGTGAATAGATCTTGAAATACTTCTATAGAGGAAGGTCACATATTCATCTGACTTATCAAATATTAACAATCCTCTGTTTCAAGACCTTATACTAGTTGCTGGAAGCATAGTCTTTAAGAAAGGCAAGATTCACTTAAACATGGAATTGTCTACCCACTTTGCTATGTAATGGGCATCCAAAATTTCCTGCATTTAAAATTGGGCCTCTGATCTTTATCCAAGAACCTTCTATTTTTTCCCCCTCCTTACTATCTAGGTTAGTGACAATGTCATCTTTCCAGGTGTTCAGGCCAGAAACTTGGAATCACACTTCCCCTTCTCTTTCTCTCATAGCTCCTGTTCAATTTATCAGTGAAGCCCGTTGTCTTTACTTTCAAAATATATCTAGAGTCCAGCCTTTCTTACCATCTCCATCACTGTCATCATCTCTCATCTGAAATGCTGTACAAGCCTTTCTCTGGTCTCCTGGCTTCTGTCCTCGTGCCCTACATTCTACTGTCTACACAGTGGCTCACCTCCATGAAGAGTTGCTCCCTTGACTACCCTTCAGACCCAGGCATGAGACCACCAACAGTCTGTTTCAAGAGGACAAACTTGGGGAAAGTAATATTTAAGCCTGGAAATAGGCCTTGAGTAAGAATTTCTTGAGGAAAGAACTCTGGGTTGGATACCTGATACCTGGCCTAAACATGGGGACATAGACGTTTTACCCCAAGAGAAGGAGCACAACTGGAAGAGCCCTAGAGCAGGGGCCTCTAAGGCACAAAGGGTCCTGCATGGCCCAGGATGTTAGTTTTCTATTGCTGCTGTAACAGATGAACACAATCGTGGTATCCTTAAAACAATACACATTTACAGGTGCCTGCGTGGCTCAGTCAGTTAAGCATCTGCCTTGAGCTCAGGTCATGATCTCAGGGTCCTGAGATGGAGCCCCCAGCAGACTCCCTGCTTGGTGGGAAGTCTGCTTCTCCCTCTGCCCACCAGCCCCCACTCTTGCCCTCTCTCAAATGAATAAAGTCTTAAAAATACATGTATTTTTTCTTTCATAGTTATAGAGGTCAGAAGTCTGAAATAAATTTTGCGGGGGGAGGTGGGGAGAATCTGTTCGTTGATGTTTCCATCTTTTAGAGTAGCATTCCTTAGCCAGTGGCCCCTTTCTCCGTCTCCAGTGTATTATTTTGCCTAAATGATAACGTTGCCATCTTCTGTAGTCAAATCTCCCCCCTTATAAGGAAATTTAGGATTACATTTAGGACCTGCCCAGGTAATCCAGGATAACCTCCCCATCTCAAAACCCTTAACTTAACCCCATCTGCAAAGTCCCTTTTGCCATCTAAGATAATAATCATTGCTCTGAGAGCAGTACTGATGAAAAAGTACAATGATAAAAATAAATCAGAGTGGTAAGGATCCCATACAAAGGCTAGAGGAATCCTATGGAAGACTTCACTAGGGTGGCAATACTGAACTAAGTCCAGAAGAACAAAAAACTTTGCAAGGCAAAGGACATTGAAGGGCGGCATTTCAGACCAGGGGGACAATGTGAAGCACGAAAGTGTGGCCCATTTAGAAAAATGTATGCCATTCTGTATGGCTGGATTGTATAAGATTGAGACCTTAAAGAGGAAGTAGCAGCAACTAAATCT